TGGACTGAATTATGATTAGCACGTAAGATCATGGATTTGTGCTTTCAAATGTTTTGGCTTCTCCAGCTAATTAACTTCCTTTGGTTCTAGATCTGCCTTTGTAAGGCAGTATAACACAGCCATGAACTTTTGCTGGATGGGTGAATGAAGCTTATGTATGGGTGGGAGGGAGGAGAGAGAGAGGGAGAGGAATGCCAGCCCAGCTACATCCTTCTCTGTCTTTTGCAACCCTGGAAACTTTGTTCCCAGTAGCTCTGCCAGCCCTTTATCCCAAAAGGAGAGGATTGCGTGGGGAACAAGCAATGATCTCATGGTGACTTGATGGGCAAGATAAAATCCCCACAGCCTCCTTTGATGGCTCTATTGAAGCACATGGGAAAAGGAGAAGCAGTGATGTTGAGCGATAAGACTCTTCACCACCCATGCTTCAAGAGAATCTAGGGCTGACTTTGGAGGGATTCTCCTAGATTTTAGTTACAACTTAAGGAAATCATCTCACAATTGACACAAGATGAGAATCAACAATCAAGTAAAGTTGCTGGATTTCCGCCTCCACAGTCAACTAAATGGCGCTTTCTTGAAGAAGTAAAGTAGAAGGAGATGGCCCAACTACTCTTGCAAGCCAACTCTGCCCCAGCTAAGTGACAGCTCCCTAGATGTCAAAAAACTAGGCGGGATGGATGACTATTACTTGGATAGAAGGAATTGCAAGGATATAAGCTAGACTAGGAAATTAGGGGAGGGGGGAACCTGAAGAAGTCTCTCAAAGATTTCAAGTAGCAAACAAAATCAGAAACAATCCAAGGAGCAAGTTTGACTGAGCACAGATTAATAAGCAATATTAAGAATTTTATTTATTTATTTATTTTATTAAATTTATATCCCGCCCTTCTCCTTGCGGACTCAGGGCGGCTAACAATCGGGTAAAAATACACAAATAACATTACAAATTTAAAAATTAGTTAAAAAGGAAATATTTAAATTTAATCTAATTAAAATATAATTAAAACCCCCTCTAAAAGTTTCCCCTAGGCCAGTCCCGCAAG